TGATGAATATAGATCAGGGGTAGACAAAATAAATGAAAAAGAAGCTTCTTCAAATGAAGTACAAAAGTTTACCGCTATTGCACATTGGATACTGCAAGAAATAGACAAATTAAGCACCAAGTATCCTAAACCTTTAGTTGGGTTAGTAATTAGAATTATTATGCACAGTAATTTTATTTTATGCCTGAGGCTTAATTCAAATAATTTATTGGTCTATAGGCAAGTTGACATCGTTCGTTTGGTAATTGAAAAACAAGCTCCACTTTTAATTTTGGATATGGAGGGTGCGGCAGAGGATATTAGAGTTAAAGTAAAAATGACGTCCACATCCGAAGATGAAATTCCTGTTGATGATATCATTGAACTTTATCGGGTGGTAATGGAGCTCAGAAGTGAATTTGAAGGACGTTGTTCTGGGTAAATTATAAGAAATTCCGGGGGTTTTTTTTATTTTTAAATCAAAACTAACTTTATTGCTAATTTTGAAACTTTTTTAAGTGTGAAATTTTCTTTTGGAATCGAAGGATGGTTCGGGCCTTATATCAAGAAATGGTTGGAAGCTACGAACAAGAAAACTCCTGAATGGGTCCGTTCGGCTGTCAGTGTGGATGAGGTTATTATTATTATTATTTTTTTTTTTTATTAATTCAATAATTAGTATTGTGAGCTATTTCTTACATACCCATTACTTTTTGTTTTTTAGTTTAAACCTGTAAGCAGTACGGATACGCATTCCTCCTCTGTGGTGGATCTTTTTACATCATTTAATCAAACTGTTGACTTCGTAAAAAGGCTTGATTGGCCTAACCGAGATCAATCCGCCCGTTTCATGACAAATTTATCACAAGTAGGTTTTATTCAGATTGGTATTAATTAATTTAAGTTTTGGTTAAAATTTATTTTAAATTCACTATCCTTTCAGACCATTGGTGAAGCATTGGAACAATATTGTAAGGTTATGGAAGATCTCTTTATGAAAGATTTGGCAGCTGCTTATGCCGAGCAAGAATCATCAAAACAAGCAGCTTGGTTTCTAAGAGCAAAGAATGCTCTTACTAGTGAAAAAGCTGCACCATCTGAGATCCAGCCAAAGGTGAATAAAATAGTTGGTTATTTCAAATATGAATTTAATGTATTACCTACATTCTCATACATTTAAATTTCACAACAGTCTTGCGTTAAGATGAATAATATAGAAGCGGCAGGTGAACAGCTGGACAAACTATATGATTCGATGAATGTTGATGATGTGTCAGAAAAAATGAATCAACCTGAGTCTGGAATTCCTCTTTCAGAAAAAATTATAAGAAACAGATATCTTTATACAATTAAAATTTTAAAGGCTGAAAATTTGATGGCCCAGGATGTTAATGGGCTTAGCGATCCGTATTGTGTCTTGACAGATGAAAAGGGGCAAATTTTGGCACAGACGCGTGTTATTTTTGAAACGCTAAATCCACAATGGAATGAAGCATTTGATATTACTCTTGAGTTTAATGACCAGGATCTTCGAAAAATACTCGTCACTGTTTGGGATAAAGATCAAGTTGGTTCGGATGACGTTTGTGGAAAAGCATATATTTATCTAGATCGTCGTTATTTCACTGACGCTAGACCCAATGATGTGGATCTCGACCTTAATCCACAAGGTCGCGTTTCGTTACGTGTCAGCATGGAAGATGAGAAAGATGATCCTCGGTTTTATTTCGGTAAGGCATTTAGAACCCTTAAACGAGCACGAGACGATATGACGAGAGCTATTGTCGATAGAGTAAGATTTTTTTTTTTTTAACGCTTGAGTTTGACTTTTGCACTCATCCTTGAATATTATTTTAAAGATGTCGCCATTTTTCAAACAATGTTTGTCTCGAGATGTAATCAACAAACTGTTAAAACCAGCAGTCGGTTTTGCGGATCTATTTGGACAGAAGAAACGTGAACTTACAGATCGTAATATTGAAGAAGCAATTGACCCACTTTTTGATTATTTTGATGAGAATTTGATGATACTTCATAATAATTTGCATCCTGAGGTGTTCAAAGCGGTTATGAGGTGGATATGGAAAGAAATAGTTACTATTATTGAATTAATTATAATACCTCCTTTATCTGATCGGCAATCAGATTTAAAACCACTCTCTGATAATGAGCTTATGATTGTATTAAACTGGTTACAGGTATAGGCATCCTTTTATTGTAGCATCTTATTGATTTTTAATCCACTAAATATATTTTATTTACTAATGTTGTTTTTACCGTTATAGTTTTTGAAACAATATCTATATGCTGATGGGAATGGTGTATCATCTGAGATACTTGAAATCCAAAGATACAAAGAAATCAGTCAAATAGATAAATTATATAATTTGGATACAGAACAACTCATGCAGGAATATCTCAACAATCAAATTATTAATACGTTGGATCCTCAGAAAGGTCAACTTAAAGCGAGCAAATCAGTGCTTCAGCAACGAAATCTTGGCACGATTAAAAAACGAAAAAGTGAAAAACGTCAAAAACATGAACGTCAAGATCATGGTGAGGTTATACTTAGAATTTTAAGAATGCGATCTGGAAATAAAACAAAAACATTCTTAAAACAACAAGTAGAAGATCGACTTAAAAAATCGGCAACTATTGCGTATAAAGAAAATTCAGCTTCATCGCTGAAGCCTGTACCAGAAATATGATCTATAAATTATTATTTATTATTTGTAAGTGTTCATGCTAATTATTTGTCATTCTCTGAATCAATTATTATGATTAATAATAAATCGTTTATTTTGACATAAGTTGATAGTGTTTCAATTAGGTTTCATTGAATAACAATAAATTAAGTTATACATATTAATCCCAAATATAATATATATATATATTTTTTTTTTATTTTTAAACTGTATTATTGTACTTTTCATATATAAATATAAACCACATTGTTTTCTATTAATATTATTATGATTTGTATATATTAGGATGTATATTAAACGTTAAAACCCAACATTTCAATCAGATCATTTTGGTAAAATTTTTTACTAATTACATAAAACTCAAAATTTGGTAATTGGTAATTAATGAATATAAATTTTATGCAATCTTAATAATTATATTTAATTTTGCATATTTTTTATTATTATTTGAAGCGAAGTAAAATTATTATGATAGGTTTATTATTGGGCTTAAGATTTTTAGCAAAAAGATTTATTTGGTTTTATATCTAAAAATTAAACAATATTATTAAAATTAAAATTAGGTTAGCAAAAATACAATTTAGGTTAATATTTTTAAAATTTTATTATTAGAACAGGCAAAATTTTGAATTACCAAAAATTTTAGTTTATATCAAAGTTATAATTTGATTTATTAATGTTAGGTTAAACTATTAAATATTATATAATAAAAATATACTATTATTGAAAATAAGCAACTATTTTTGTTAGAAAAATTATACAAAAATTAACAAAAATATATACAATTAGATATTTATAAATACAATCTTTCTAAATATATATTCTATAAAAAACCTTTATAAATGTTATGTTTTTATTATATATATTTATAGATTTTTATTTTTCTAAATATAACACCTTTCTAAATACAAAATTTTTTAAAATTTATATAGTATTTGTGCAAATTGTATTTAGAAAAAATTAACTGTGTTATAATAATAGTCGACCCACATATGGCGCAGAGGGTTTAAATAGATAACTCCCTAGTTGGGTTATAGGTATGATATCTAGTGTAGAACTTAGTAATAAGTGGACTACTTAAATAGGCAATCAAAAGTTGTACGTGTGGCTAGTTTGTACTCTCCAAAATATGTATACTATACGGGCGTTGTAAGGGGCCTAGCGTATGGTAAAAACTTGACTAATAACTAAATAAAAGAGAATCGACCAAGAGGTCACCTTAAAAAAAAAAAAAAAAAAAAAAAAAATTAACTGTATTTTTTCAAAAATTAAAATAATAAAAACTTATTTATTTTTAAAATTTTTTTTTCTTTGGCAACCTTGCTGGTAATCTTTTATTAAGATTATTATATAAATAAATTATATAATATTGAGTTTAATATTTAGGTCTGACATTCTTCAGCTATCTTTATAGATATCTAAAAGTGGTTTGCTATATTAGGTAGTTTTATAATCTCTGCCTAGAATGTTTTACCAAGTTGTCTTGGAAGTCTTATAGATCTCAAAGAGATCTCAGTTTAGTTTTAGTAAGTCAAGTTTATCTGAATACTCTTTTGCTATACTATTATCTAATTCTAATCTATCTAATTCTAATTTTATTTAGCTATCTAAAATATTTTACTTTCATAAAAATACTATACTATCTATTTCTAAGCTAATATATATATTTTTTTTTTCAGTTTACTTTATATTTTTTTTGCAAGCAACTTGACTCTTAATACTTCAATGCTTCTCTCTTCTTCTCCTTTATTTTTTTCATTAGTTGTTAATGGTTTTCTACTCTGTAATAGAGTTTTCTTCTTTACTTTTTTTTTTCTGTTTTTCTAGTTTGTTCTAATCTTTTTACTTCTTCTTGCTTAGATTAGAAATCCTCTCGAATTTCCTAAAATCTTTTCTAGAAGTTTCTTCTATAATATCTTCAAATTGTCTTTAATTTGGTTAGCTTTTTTTTCTTCACTATCTATAATTCTCTTCTCTAATATATCTTGTAGTTGAAAATAACTTCTTGTTAATTCTCTAAAAAAATACTTGTGGTTCTCTCTTTTTCTTCTTCTTTGAAGTTATTTTGTTTCACTTTTTTCTCTCTAAAACCTGCTATTTACTTCTTGTATCGATATAATTATTTCAGATATTTTTCTAAGTAATCATTAAATAAAACTTCTTTCTTATCTATAGATTTCTTTACTTCATTCTTATTGTTTCTTCTTTCTTTTCTTCTTTAGAAATCATTACTTTGATATTTTTTTTTTTTCGATATTAAGGTGAGGTCTTGTCTCGTATCTTTATTTAGATAATTTTGAGTATTTGCCTTATATAGTTATATATCTAACTTAAGAATACAGACTTAAACAATTTTATCTATAACCTAAACCTACCAGAGTATGCTATATTCTCACTACATATTGGATTATACCTGGATTTGGTGTTTAAACTATATTTAGTTATCCACTATATTCACCCCATGTAGTGTTTCTATAAACTGAACTGAACTGAACTTTTGGTCAAGTTCAAGTTTAATTCAAAATTGAACTAAACTTGAACTTGAACTTTTTTTAAAAAAAGTTTAGTCAGGTTTAATATTGAACTTTTAAGTCAAGTTTAGATTCAGTTCAGGTTCAGTTCAAAAGTTCATAAATATGTTCAAGTTCAATGAATTATATATATA